TCTCATAGGGAGCCCGGACCGCTAAACTATGAGGCGCCGACTAATGGGATGGGCTCGTGTCTCAGCACGGCTTCCGGCTGCACTGTAATATCCCCGTGTCGCCCCAGAGGCCGCGTGGCTCCCGCCCCGAGGCTGCCCCACGGGTCCGTCCTTCCCGCCTGCCGCTGAGGGGTGGCCCTGCTCCTTCCCCGGCCCAGGACAGTGCCCATCGCGGAACCACACAGAGGCTCACGACCACGGGGGCCTGGCACATGGCACTTCTAACCGGCGGCTGTTGGCTAAGGTGGGTCATGCGACCCAGCCTGTGGGGACTGGAAGAAGCTGTTGCCGGCCACGTGTTAGGAGGTTAGTGGACTGACACGGGCCTTCGACAGGTAGCAGACCGAGCACACGGGCTGGGCCCGCTGCTCCCTTTGGGCGTCTGTCTACATCACATATCAATACCCAGTAGAGCTCTGCTGAGTGGAGGCGTGAAGGCAGTTTGCGTTCACTTTGCTTTTTACATCCTGATGGAAGAGACCTAAGTGATTAAAACTCGAAAGCACACAGCTCAAGATGAAAACCTCATTTGAGAAAATCGGCTGCTAAAGGATCATAATCCAGTGACACCGGCCACGGCTCTCGTCCCCTCCGTTATCAGTGTGAAATCTGCAGCCTGCGGGAACTGGTTCTTCCGGACTCTGAGGACGTCTTCTGACCCAGGAGGAAGCTCCCGCTCCACCGAGCACCCCACACTATGTGGCCTTCGAACCCCGTACAGCTCTGCATTTATGTTTGTGTTTCAATTCTGGAGCCTTTGAGCAGTTCAAAAATGAAAACATCAATGTGTTAAAGGCACCAAGGTTATCTGATGAGACGTATTAGAAAAAATTATTCTAAAGCCAAATTTATCAGACTATTCATCCGCAAAGATCTTTCACCCATGATAGCATAAGGAACTAAATATTTATTTATTGGTCTCTCTTTAGATAACTACAAGGAAACAGATATTTCCAAACATACGTGTGGAGAGGCTGCGAGGAGACCCACGTTCATGGTCGTGATTTGAAAAGAAACGGCAAAGACGCCCCCGGCTCCCTCCCCTTGGGCCGCGCTGCAGCCAGCGACAGCAGCTGCCCGGTGTGCCCTGCGGAGGACACACGCCCCGCACAGAAACGGGCTGGGGCACGGGGACCCCCTGTCGGCAGGGAGACCGCACCGCGGGGCCTGGCACACAATGCCCCCTGGCCTTGCGCTCGGCCCGCCCCCAGCCGCCGCAGCCGGCCGCCCGGGCTCGGCCTTTGTCTCCCTCTCAGAAGCTTTATTTTCATATTTTCTTTTAATTGCGTAGAAATTGTTCTTTCTAGAGAAGTGAGAGTTGCTGAACACAAAAGGGGGTGTCCGCTCGGAGCTGGCCGTGGGCCCCTGGAGCCTGAGCAGCGAGGGGCTTTCCCGCGCGGGGCCTGAAACCCAGCCAAACAGAAGCTAAATGCCTCCGACACTTTTGAAAAACCCATCAAAGCTTCTGCTGAATGATATTTATAAGAGCTTCACTGTTCTCTTTCAAAAACTGAAATGCCCTCCTCCGACACTTGAAGAAAACGCCCGAGCTTTTCATCTCTCCCTCTCAGAAGTAAACATTGTTCCGAGAGAAAGGGCCCAAAGCAGAGCTGGCTTTGCCTTGAAATTTTATTTTTAAATAAGAGAAGGAGAAAATCCTTTTTCTGACTAATACTAATAATACAGGTCAAAGTGTCAGGCGATATACAATTAAACAGAAAACAAAAGAGGTTCCCCCCTTCCCACAGCACAATGGCCCCGGAATATAAATCACTGCCGAAGATGAAATAGCACTTCAAAGCCCGGGGGGCATTTTGGTGGCCGAGGAGCGGTGGCGAGGCTGGTAACCCCGGCCCGGAGGACGCCGCCAAAAGGTCTGGGACTAGCGTGAGGTGGGCTGTGGGGTCCCTACGGCCTGCGACCCCACGATATGCTTTGTCCCACAGGGCAGCTGCAGCTATCAACAGATGTTTCGGCAATAAACACTCGGTATCATCTCGGCGGCGGCCCACCTACCTGGGCAGCGGGCCTAGCACCGCACGCGTGGCCCGTGCACGTGGCCGCACCAACCTGCCGTCTCCCGGCTCCTCGGTCCACAGGCGTTTTTTCTGGGAGGGACACTCTCAGGACAGTGCGGGAGGCTGGCCCAGCCGTAAATCCCTGTCTGTGGCCACACAGCCACGGGGGGCAGTGCGGGCGGCGACGCAGGACGGGGGCCAAGCACTAAACTCATCGTTTTCCTCCAGCAGGTTCAGCCTGAGAGAGTAACATTGTACATGGCCCTGAATTTCACCAACTTGGGCACCATGAAAAATAGTTGATTATGACTTGCCTTTTACTTCAGCATTCTGCACTTAACTTTGATCTATCATTTGTGTAATTACCTTAAAGACACGCTGTTTCTGAGTGTAATGCTAATTTTAAATGTGGAGGGAAAACATTTTTATGGGAAGAATTCCTTTAAGAAAAAAAAGTGAGGAAAGCTTAGATTTATGGGGAAAAAAAACCGTCAAAAGAGACCAGGTAAGTGAGAGGACAGACTCGGCAGTCTGTGACTATTTTTTAGGTGAAAACAGAATCTCACAATAACTGATCCTTTCAACTCGGCCATCCAGCTTCAGGCAAGTCTGATACTGTGTCCGACGGAAAGACGGGACACAATGGGACCCACAAAGCGTGGCGTTTACTCCGGTTACTGTTAACAGCTCAGGTGTTAAAAGCAGCGAGTTCGCAGGGTGCTCGAGTTCTCGGTGTTTACCAAACAGAGCCAGCACCGTGCGGGGGCCTCACACGCAGGAAGGCTCCGGGGCTCCTGGGGTGTGGCTGCTGAGTTCACGGCCCCGCTGGCTGAGCTGGAGGGACCAGGCAGAGCGCAGAGCCTCGCAGGGTAAGTGCAGACGGACCCATCTCAGAGCTGCCACCCAGTGACCCTGCGACCTGGGCACAAGCCTCTTAAACGCTGTGTGACTCGGTTTCCCCAGTTGTGACTCGCGTGCACGGAAGGGCAGGAAACTGGAGGGATGATGAACGGACCCTCAGTTGGCCCCACAACTGTGAGCACCCACCTTCCACCAAGCCCTAAACACAGCAAGACCCGGCTCCTTGCAACTGCCACCTCATTTTCCGGCTGATGTCACTCGGGCAGTGAGGGGCTCTGGGTGGACCAGGACTGCGACTCAGAAGCGGGCTGTGCTGTCTCTTGGCCTCTCAGCCTGGGCTTGACATTCAGAAAGATTCTCCAAGGCCAGGATGAAAGCAGGGCTCCCCGCTCTGGGAAGCGGCCGCTCTCGCCTCCCTTGGGAGCTACGGCCCCTACGTGCCACCACCCAGCGGAGTCACATGGCTTTCCGTGCCCTCAGCTCCCGGGGCATCGGCTGCCATGTGAACAGCAACTCCCGGACTGCGGGGGAGAGCGTCCTCCTCTGACTGGCCTCCTGCGGCCCTCACGCGAGGCCCTCTCCGCCCTGCCCCTCCAGCACCCACTCCTCCCTTTAGGACACAGGCTCCCGAACCCCATGTCGCAGCCATCGGGGGTTAGGGGGCTTGTCTAAGGCCGACTGACAGAGCCGAGGTGACCCAGGAATTCCATTTCCCGACACGTCTCCAGGCGACGCTGGCCCTCAGTCGGAAGCATCATAATCACCGCCCTCGAGCTGCAGCGTCCAGCACAGCAGCGGCCTCGGCCACACGGGGCTGTTTACGCAGAAAGTGATTTAAGCGTTAAGTACAACAGAAGGGGTTCAGCTCTGCAGCCGCACTCGCCCATCTGGTGCGGGGGCCCGGAGGGTGGGCAGTGGGGTGCGGGACAGTCCATCGCTGCTGCGGGGGAGCCGTGTCTCACAGCGTCCACTGTGCTTTCAGGCCGTTGCCCTGGGGCTCGGGGGACAGGCACCGCGGGGCAGAGGAAGGGCTGCGAGTCTCAGCTGTACCACTCACTGCTCTGCTGCCCTGGGCAGGTGACGCCCGGCGCTCAGGCTCCCCACCTGTGACCTGGGGTGGTAGCGGTGACAACCGCTGCCGGCCTGTGCCGAGGCTCACACGAGGTGGCGTGCGTGCGACTATTCCTAGACTCCGGAGTGACACTGTCCTCTCCCCGCTGAGACCAGCGCACTCACCCAGAACCTGGCTCACCCCTCACCTTGCTCCTCTGCGGGGTGGAAAGGGGGGAGGTCTTACTGCTTCTGTTAGATCTGCCAATACACCATTGCGTGAGCATGGATCAGGGGTCTTTACTGGATTTTCGTTTTGAAGGAAAAGATGATGTCTGTACGTTTATTTTAGGAGGACCCCGAAGCCCACTCCCATGTAAATCTATCAATTCAAAGTTTTAGGATATTGTCGTTGCTTGTAAGTCCTGGTCCCCAAACATATTTTTATGTGAGGAGAAAATGCACGTGAGCAACAGACTGCTTTCCTCGACACTCATCTGAGGGAACGTGGGAACGCAGGGCCCCTGTGTGCCTCGGACCTGAGCCTGGAGCCTGAGCCCAGCTCGGTTCCGGTCCGCCACTGGGGGCAGGCGCCCGTGGGCCTGTCATGACTCTGTCGTGATGCATCCCGAACAGCCTGAACCAGGGCCCAGGGAGCAGACAGGGACCCGGCTGCAGGTCACATTGGTGAAACAGTGGTGAATTTTTTTTTAGAAAACAGCGTGTCAAAACACAAATGCTGTGAGACACACTGAGGCCCGCCAACGAGGTGTAAATGTCACCAGCTAGACCCCGAGCCACCCTCGGCCACCCCTCCTCACTGTCCTTGGTGTGGCTTTTCAGCAGCAGGTCCTCTGGCCTGCCATGCCGATCTGAAAGCTACACCCCACATTAGTCACCGTGGCAGAGGTGACCGGGGGTGGGGGACGTTTCATGCTTCAGGGAAATTTAATCTGTCAGACACTTGAGGCTGAGTGCCCGGCGGGGTCAGAGGGACGCCAGGCCGGGGGGGTGGGGGGGGACTCTTCTTACCAGTAGCTGCTGCAGCCGGGCGCCCACCACGTCCTGCAGGTTAGTCTTGTCCTCTGGGCCGATGTCTTGTTTGTATTGCCACTTTTCGGGCACAAAAGGCCACTTCATTTCCTTCGCCTCCTGGACGAGGGTCCTCAGCTCGCTGGGGATGAGAGCTGAAAAGGTCAGAGTTCAGGTAAGGAAATTGCAGACAAAGAAAAGGCTGTCGAGTTGCCAACGACATGATGAAGCACCTCGGTGGCAAAAAAAAGCTTTCCTGGGCCTGGCCGGCTGGTCCATGTGGAGGGGGTGGGGGGGCAGGCTCCCAGGAGAAGCCCCAGAAGTTGCCTGGGGGGCCCTGGCCAGCTTTGCCCTACAGCAGCAGAGCAGTCAGGCGGGAAGGTGTGGAATCCCAGACGGGGCGGGGGCCGGGACGGCAGGAGGGTGAGTCCACCCCTGCAACCCCGGTCTCCTCCGGCCCCAGGTCACCTCACGCTTTCACTGGAGGCTGCATTTGAAGACAGAAAATGAGCACGAAAACCCACTGTGATCTGAGATGGCCTCAGCTTACTGCACAGTGGCCTCGTGTCCCAGCGGGAGATGTGGCGACCTTGCTGGCGGGCAGCACGCCTACTTACACAGGACCAGGTCCCGCACGCAACCTTGGCGAGGCCCAGAGCTCCGGGAGCGTGGAGGTTTGCCCTTGAGTCTGACACGCACACTGACCTGCGTGGCCGGAGGCTGCCTGGGATGTGTCAGCCGCTCGGTGAGCGTACTCCCTGCCCCAGCTGGCAGTGGCGTGGCAGCTGGCACAGGCCCATGCCACCTCCCTGACTGAAAACGCCTGGCCTGAGGCACACGTGACGCCCCAGGGCTCGGGATGGGGGACCGGGCACCCTCGGCCACGGCCGCCAGCCTGCGTCCGGTGCCCGCCTTGTCGACGTCACCGACCCAGCGTCTCTCAGTGAACTCGCCGCCTTGCTCCGCGTCCCCCTTTCCCTCTGGGCTCTGGCTTGAGTGCTGCCACCGTCCCGAGTCCCCGCATCTCACACCCACGGGTCAGTCGATACCTTCGCCCTCTCGTCCTCCCTGAGCCTAACTGGCTACCGCGTTCTGCGGATTCTGTCATCTGTTTCTTCCCTGTCGTTCTCAGCAGAGGTGTGATTTCTGGGTTCAAAGACTTTCCCCACACTCTGGGGCTGAGCGGTTTAAACGTGTTCGAGTCTCTTTGGGAGAGTTGAGAAACTCTTCTCTACAAGTCACCTCTGCCTCCGCCCCTCCCTACAGGCCACGCTGGACGAGGACAGTCGGGTGCGGCAGATGCGTGAGCCCGTCTCTCGGATATGCTTCAAATGCATCTCTGCCTGGGTCCCAGCTCCTCGCCTCTCCCTGGGGAAGTAGCTGCGTCACCACGCTGACGAGGACACCTTCTGAGGGCCGGTGTGGGGTGGGAGGAGGAAGGAGAAGCTGCAGTGTTTGACTGAGAGCTCCGACACCGCGAGTGGCCCGGCCTGACGCCTTTGCGGTGGAGCACCTGCAGGTGGCACTTTGGTGGCAACGCGACCTGCTGCTGGAGCTGCTCAGAAACCACCTGCCAGGGAAGAGCCCTGGATCAGCCTTCACCACACAGCACGCGGGGGCTGGTTACAGCTGGGACGATGGCAGCTCTGCCACGCCCAGCAGTCGGCCCTGCCTCCGTCACCTCTCACTGCCCAGGCAGCGGACCCGAAGGTGGGGGCTGAGGGACTCTGCAGCCGTGAAGTGCCTCATCTGGGACTAAATTCATTATTTCTCCTGTTCCGGGGCACTTGGGAAGAAGAAGAAAACGCTAGCCAGCTGGGGCCTGTTTTCAGCAGGGAGGACGGCGGCGGGAGGAGTCTGGGCTGACCCGCGAAGGCCGCCTGCAGTGGAAGGACGTGCGGAGGGGTGTTGGGGCGCCCAGCCCCCGCCGGCCCCTGGGGCGCTCAGGCTGGCCGGCGAGCGGGAAAGAAAGAAAACGCACAGACCCCCGTGCGACACGACTGGGCGTAGGGCGTTTTATCTTGAAAGGGGCACAAACGACAGGTTATAAAAATTAAGACTTGCACGGACACCTGACAGTGCCCCCGTGGGAATGCGGGCGGCCACAGGCGGGGCGTCCCGGCCCCGCTCCGCCGCCAGCTGCGGAGGGGACAGCGCATGTCACGCGGCCTGCGCTTCGTAGGGCGTGGCGGACCACGCACGCACCATGACATTAAACGCACATGACAGGGGACACACAGAAATGGGGGGAAGCGTATGCCGCTGCCACAGGGAGGTCTAAGGGCAGGAGGGCGCCTCTCGGCAGCCGCTGACGAGGGGACAAGCGTGGCCGAAACTTCCCGATGACTCATCTAAACCGAGGCCACGAGCGGGGACAGCGCGCGTTCGTCTCGCACGCGCGTGCGGCTGCTGGCGAGCTGCGGTGACACCCGAAAGAGGGCGGACAGATGCGGCGACACGTCTGTGGAACCCACAGCCGTCTACGGAAACTGATGCGGCGCAAAGCTCAGTGTGGAAACCTCCGTGGCACCGTTCACGGGTCGCCTCGATTTTTCAATAACTGAAACTCCCTCGGGCCCTTTGTTCGTCTGGAACTAAACCGTTCCTCGCGGCTCCTGTTTACTGGAGCCTAAAGCCAGAACTGACAGCGATTCACGGCGACAGAGCGGGCTCCCTCCCCGGCCTCAGAAGCCCACTGATCTCTCGGTGGTCATCTGCCTCTGCCCCGAGCAGGAAAACCGG